ATATTTTTAATTTAGTAATGACTATTGTATTTAGTCGATCCTTTGCGTATATGTTTTTATATTAGCCAGTTTGAGCTATGTATATTAATTTCCATGAAATCGAACGAAATTAATAATGAAAGCTATAAATATATATATGGGTCTTGTTATACCCTACAAACTATGTTGTAAGGGTATCATAGCATTGTTTGGACCCAGAAGTTTCTAACTTTCTAACGTGAAATATTGGTCCCAGACCAACTCGACTAGCCGAGTCTATCTAGACATGTGTATCCGTCCGTTTTTCCATTATAATTTGTAAATACCAAAAAGGTCACAGTTATGAACCAATAGTACGAAATTTTGCATGTAGGACGGGTTCTGGCCATAGAAGATCCCATATTTTAATAACAATCTGTTAATATATAGAGGATGAAATATACCGAAAACTTTACTTTTGTCTGTTCTTCTGGCCGCTTTAGAGTACCGGGAAATTCAAGAAATTTTACTTGTGGAAGAGGATTTAGCCAAAGAATAAGCATGACTATTTTGATGAAGATCGGTCAATATTTAGAGTGTCATATGGACCCAAAATTTTATGTGAAAAATTACAATATATAAATATTTAATATATAATTTGTAACGAATGTATACACCGGCATTATTATACCTACACAACTATGTTGTCAGAGTATAATAGCTTTGTGCAGGTCTTTAGACCCAACTTTAAGTATACCAATCGTCATATCTCGACTAGCTGAGTCGAACTAGACATGTGTGTCCGTACGTCCGTCTGTCCATTATAATTTGTATGGACCAATCTTCCGAAATTTTGGACCAATCTTCCCGAAATTTTGCATGCAGGATAAGTTCTGGCCAATGAAGACCCCTATTATTTTTGGTAAAGATCGGCTAAATTTTGTCTGATTTTCTGGTCGCTCCAGAGGCCGCAATTATGGCCCAAACATCACGAATTTTTACATGGATGAGGGGTTCGGGGCAAAGAATAAGCATGCCTGTTTTGAGAAAGATTGATCAATATTCAGCTGGTCAGATGGACCCTGATTTTGTGTGAAAAATTACAAAATTTGTTTACTCTTAAAGGACAAAGACCCGAGAAGTTGTTATTATATCCAAGAGCAGTGGTTGACCTTTAAATTGATACCAATTATATTGTCGTATGTACTCGATTGTGGGAGTTACAATTAAATATTTATAGGTGCTTACGTATTCATATGTTATTTAGTAACACATTACCACACTGGAGTGCGGAAATATAGCGCTGATCGTCTTGAAATGTTCCATGAGAATCCAGTTATGGTCAAGGACAACGCCTATAATTTTCGGTGATGATCAGATAATTATTTAGGGATGAAGTGGACCGAAAACTTATTTTTTTGTATTTTTTTCGAGTCGATCTATAGACCACAATTCAAAGCAATTCAACACAACCAATGGTGAAGGGAATCTGGACAAGTAATTAGAAGGGCTGTACTGAATATTAGTAAGATTTGTTGACCTCTAGTCGGTGAAGAGTGTCAACAAATATTGCGAAATATTGCCCAAGCTCAGAATTTAGAACCACACAAAGTAAGATTTTAGTGGAAGTTGTGTAGGGTATCATATGGTCGGCCCCGTCCGACTATACTGCTCCGCTCACTGGTATTATATTAAATATTTAAAGGTGTGTGTGTGTGTTACGACGATAGGTTACCCCTTCAGACAAACAATGGTAACGAGTGGTAACAAGAATGTACCCATTATGGAACTTAATACGTCCCAACCAAATCGACTCTATTTAAAATGCTCATTGACTACTTCACGTGAAAACTCCCGAAAGTAGTAACCGAATTTACACAAGTTTAGCTTGTCGTAATATTGTTTTCCAAAAACAGGGGGTGTCAATCGCCCCTTTCTCCCTTTCACTGTTTTAAAACATTAAGGAAAGTAGTAAAGTCAGACGGGGCCGACTATATTATACCCTTCACCACTTTGGGTATATTAATCAGGACTATTATCATGAAATTGGATGAAATAAAATATGTGATAGTTATCTAAATGTGAATTGACTTAGATCAATCTCTAAGCATGTCATTCGTTTGTAACAATGGGACAAAAGTATGAAAATCTACTTCAAACAAATGTCAATTGGTCATCCGTTGGGTTATGTCTGCACTTCTAGAAAACTCAACTATGTTATTCTATGCTCAATTTTGTACGTTGTGCAAAATTGGATGGCAATCTGACAAACATGAGGAGTTTGATGCACAATTTACTTAAAATCGGACGAAAATATATGTGGAAGCTATATCCAAATATGAACTGATTTCAACGAAATTTGTCACGGGTTAGGTTATACTAAAATCAATACGTTTTGTTCCTATCACCCATATATTGGTTCCTTGGTGCGGGAGCTATATCTAAATCTCAACCGATTTTCACGAAAATTGGCATACATCATTCTGGATTAAATTCAGTACGATATGCAACATAAGAACTTTGGTACATTATTCACATTAAATCGGACGAAAATATATATATCTAGATCTGAACCGATTTTCACGAAACTCAACACACATCATTCCAGCATCAATTCAGTACGCTGGGCAAAATTTCGTGCAAATCGAAAGATATATGTTGACTTTAGTGCACCATTTATATTAAATCAGACGAAAATATACATGGGAGCTATATTTAAATCTTGACCGATTTTCACGAAACATGACAGACATCACTATTAGATCTAGGCTCAATTCAGTACGTCATGCCAAATTTCGTGCAAATCAAAAGTTATATAGGGACTTTGGTGCCCCATTTACGTGAAATCGGACACAAGTATATATGGGAGCTATATTTCAATCTGGATCTATTTTCTCGAAATTTGGCAGACATAACTCTAGGCTCAATTCAATACTCTATGCCAAATTTCGTGCAAATCGAAAGATTTATAGGAACTTTGGTGCACCATTTACATGAAATCGGGCGAAACTATATATGGGAGCTAAATCTAAATCTGAACCGATTTTCCCTAATTTCAATAGGGTTCGTCCTTGGGCCAAACAAATGAGCTGTACCAATTTCATCCAAATCGGATTATAAATGCGACCTGTACTTTGTTCACCAAAATATATGGACGGACGGACATGCGTAAATCGACTCAGAAAGTGATTCCTTGCATATTCTCAAAAGGAACCATGTGTCTATCTCGTTCCCTTTTGCCTGTTACAAACATATGCACAAAGACATAACACCTGTACCACAGTGTGATGAAGGGTATAAAAATACTGATATGGGTTTTGTGTTTTGTGGATACACGACTAAAAGTTACTCCTAATTACAAATTTTGGTACTAAGTGGTATAAGGATAGCATACATATTAAGGCTTATACTCTAATTGTCTACGTATTTAAATTGTTTCAGATAAATTAGAGTCGATTTATAAATGTTCGTCTGGCTACTTCGCGTAAAAATTCTCGAAATTAGCAACCGACTTTACACAAAAATAATTTCCCCATGTTTATTCTCTTTACGCAATATATTATTACGACTTGTTTATGGTACCTATGTAAATCATTTTGACGAAATGTCGGTACAGTCCATATTTTCAAATATTAATTGCTATAATCTAATAGAGGGCATGTCGATTATTTATTGGCTATACAACGCTTTGACAAACATTTCTAATTATGAACGAACATGGTAAGCTGTCTTCAGAGTTGGTCTCATTCGGCAGCTTAGTTTGGAATGTAATCACATGGAATTTATAAGGGGCGGCAAATCAATGCAAATCGATATGACATATGACATCATATCATATCTTCAGACGAACCAGACAGTTTTTCATATTGTAAAAAAAGCTTTCTGAGCAAATAAAAAAGTACGGCGAAAACATTCGAATGTGGATCCATACGAGTAGTCTTTGTAGACTCTATTTTATAAGCAAGTACTCGAAAATAGAAGTAGGATATGATTTACAAAAACATTCCTCATTCATTTTGACTATATCCGCAAACCAATACATGATCTATGACGAATTTGTCCCTCTTGGTTTTATTAAACTCTCCAAGGGCGTTCATCCCCATATGCAATATTTATTTTTGTGATTTTATTTTATATAAAGTTCGAATATTTAAATAGCAATACACCAAACAATATTCTTATTTATATATATATATATATATATATCAGATACGAATATATTTTATTATCTAATATTTTTTTAAAATGCTATGTTACACAGAGTCTATGACAAAATAAGCCCTTTACCCTGTGGTACATTTTCTTCCAGCATAATTAGATGATACCTTACACATTGCAAACCATATACCTCAAATTGTAGTGATATCAGGCTAGAACCTTCAGACTATATAAAACTTATAGAATATGTAATTATTTTTTCTGTACTCAAATTTTTTTAGTTTCTATAGTAATAATTAAAAGTACAAAAATTCTGCTTATAGCCGTCACAGTAAATAATGTTGCAATAGTCGAAATTGCTCAACTCGTACGAATGGAAATCCATAACATTAACAGGCAAATGGACAAAAGATAACCCGTAACCAATACAATAACAATTTAAATGTCATAAATACAATTCTTCAAATTGCTTTCGGGGTTTTTTTACAAATACGACAAAACAAATATTGGCGTTTTTTGGTCGCTTTTTATTAAAGATGCAATAAAATTGGCATATTGATGATATGACAGGCATTATAAATATTGTTTTTGTTTTTTTTTTTAACTAAATCAAAACATTAGTACCAAATCAACCAGCCAACAGAGGGTGACCATAAAACACACAAAAGAAATCAATCAAATTTCGCATTTACAACTAAAGCAAGATTTTGATTGATTAGAGCCAGCGGAATTCGATGACAATTTGAAAGCATAACAAATTAATCAAATTTTAAGACATTTTTATAACTAGCTGCTCCCGTTTAATGATTGATATTTGAAATGATTTACAATTGTAAACTTTAACTGATTGTTTATTGTGTTTTTTGTTGTTGTTGTTGTTACAGATTTATGCCACCAATTACCCCCTCACCATGGAAGACTGTACGGAATGCTGATCGTTTTTCACCTGTTTGCCCACAAACCGTACCCATACCACCCAATGGCCCTGAAGCATTGTTGGAAGTGCCACGAGCCCGTCTAGCCCAGCTGCGTAGACTATTGCCGTTGCTTAGCAATCAATCGGAAGACTGCCTTTATCTAAATATTTATGTACCCTACGAAAATCGAAGGCATCGACGTGAGTATTGAGTTTTACTTTTCAAATTTATGCTAGAAGAACGTGCGAACTGTCAAAGTTTTTGTTGTTGTTGTATGAAATCTTCATATAGCTTTGAAATCTTCAATTCCGTAGTGCATTGCAGTTTGTTGCAGTTAAAAATTACTGCAAGCATTGTGGAAATGATGATTTTGTAGTAAACTCAAACATCATGGAAGTGTGTTTTTATTGATTTATTTGTTGTGTTAAAGAGTGTAATTGATTTTTCTATATATATTAAAGATTAAAATAATTTAATTGTCTTAATTTCTTTTTATACCCTCCACCATTGTATGGAAGGTATATTAATTTTGTTTTTCCGTTTGTAACTCATCTAAACAATCATTTCCGAGCCTATAAAGTATATATATTCTTGATTAGCGTAAAATTCTATGACGATTTTGCCATGTCCGTCTTCTAAACGAATTGAGAAGTTCGAAGATGGTCTATATCGGTCCACGTTTTGGCATAGCTCCCATATAAGCGTTCCCCCCAATTTTCGGTATTTTGGGGTTCTTGAGCGCGTTTTTCAACTCTTGGCTCTTATTGTGTACGAAATTTCCCCACTAAAAAGTATAAGTATTGGTCCACTTTTCCTGGTAGCTCCTAGAAAGAAATTGGGGTACCCCCAATTTTCAGTATTTTGGGGGTTTTGAGCGTATTTTTTGACTGATTTTGTTGTAATTTAGTACTTTGAGTTCTTATTGGGTAGCAAATCTATCCACAAAAAAAAATATAAATATAGGTCTATTTTTCGTGAGGCACCCATATAGGGTACCCTCCAATTTTCGTTATTTTGGGGCTCTTCAGTGCATTTTTGAAAAATATCCTTACCAAAAATTAGTAATATTCGTGCCCTTTTATGTGTAATTCCCACATACACAGCTCCATACACAACGGTTTACTTGTTGGTATGTTTCCTGTATTTTCATTTCAAGTTCCTATCAGTATACCTATGGTGGAGGGTGGCGATGATTTAATAACTTCTAAACCAATTGAGGTATGTTGGTGGATTTTTGCTGAAATTCACTAGATCGGATTATGCTTTTCTAATGTTCTCATATAACAGTGGCCCGATTTTCGGTATTTTTGGGGGTTTTCGACAAGTTTTTCAACCTAATTAGATGTATTTTGGGTACCACATATTCTTGCTGGAATTGTCAACATTCATCCAATATATTGTATAGCTTCAATATAATAACCCTCAAATTTCTATATTTTTGGGATTTAAATAGCCAATTATCTTACTTTCTTTTCTACTTGGTCTTTCCATCTAATTCGTGACCTTCCCCTTCAACGGGAACCATCAGTAGGCTCGCTTTTATATGCCTTTGACCTGGAGCATTCTCATTTATTCGCACAACATGGCCTAGCTACAGTAGTCGCTGCAGCTCTATACGACTGACTATGTCGATGTCCGCGTATAAATTGTAAAGCTCGTGGTTCATTCGATATTCACCGTCGACGCAGATCGGCCCATAGATCTTTCGGGGAATTTTTCTTTCAAACACCCCAAGGGCTGCCTCATCTGCTTGCGCAAGTACCCATGCTTCAGATCAATATAATAGCACGGGTAGTATCAGTGTCTTGTGAAGTGTAAGTTTGGTCTGGCGGGAGGTGGCCTTGTTTCTAAATTGCTTACTTAGACCATAGTAGCATCTGTTGGCCATCACAATCCTTCTCCGAATTTCAAAACTGATGTGATTCGTTTTATTTATGGCGGTACCAAGGAATATAAAATCTTTAATTACCTCGAAGCTGTAGTTCTCAAGTTCTACAGTTTGTCCGCTTGGTCTTCTTGCCTTACTGCCAGACCCACTTTGGCACACTCCTTTTCAATTTGTTCAAAGGTGGCTGTTACCGCTCGCAATGTTCGACCCATTATATCGCTGTCACCGGCATAGGCGAGTAACATGTGTTGTTTGGTGTACAGAGTGCCATTTCTGTTCACCTTTGCGTCTCGTATGACTTTTTCCAGAAGGATGTTAAAAAGGTCACACGACAAACAGTCACCTTGTCTGAATCCTCGTCCGGTATTGAAGGGCTCCGATAGGTCCTTTCCTACTTTAACTGCTGACCTTGTGCCACTTAAGTTATCCTTCATAGCCGTATTAATTTTGCAGGATGCCGAACGTAGACATGGCTTTAAACACCTCTGAACGGATAGGACTGTCGAATGCGTCTTTATAGTCCACAAATAGGTGGTATGTGTCGATGTGTTTTTCGTGGGCCTTTTCCAGGATTTGGCGCAGAGTGAAAATCTGGTCAATAGTGGATTTGGTCTGAAGCCGCATTGGTATTGTCCAATGATGTCATTGTCCATTGGCTTCAATCGTTCACACTGCACACTGGATAGCATGCGATGGGAAGGAGACTTATTCCTCTATAGTTGGCACATATCGTCTTGTACTAATCAGCTGGTGCATGCTCCAGTCTTTAATATTTCGAATAGCCAATTATCAGACATACCTTAGCCAGTTATCGGCCAAAGTTGCAGATATTGGCAGCTAAAAATGGAGTTGGAGTTAATGGTGGGTGACATATATATGTCTGATTGAAACGAAATTTTGTACATAGAATTAAATTAGAACAACCGAATGTATTTGAAGTCGGTTCGAATGTAATTATATTTCCCATACTTTTAAGCTCGGCCAGGTGATAGGGTGCATTCAATATTGTATTACATGGTAGTAGGTTTAACTGTGCTGTGAATAAAAATGATGTTCCAAATTACAGATACTCAGCTTATAAAACGTCCCGAAAATTAGAACGGAGATTTGTGTGGAGGCTATTGTATAATGTATTTGAAGTCGAATGTATTTGAAGTCGGTTCGAATGTAATTATATTTCCCATACTTTTAAGCTCGGCCGGGTGATAGTGTGCATTCAATATTGTATTACATGGTAGTAGGTTTAACTATGCTGATGATGATGTTCCAAATTACAGATACTCAGCTTAGAAAACATCCCGAAAATTAGAACGGAGATTTGTGTGGAGGCTATTGTATAACATTGGACAAATTCTGAAAATACATATGTTTTTCACTAGAAATCAGATACGTCAAATTATTGCCCCTTCGACGAAAAAATTGAGTTAAAAATTGAATAATGCCGAGGTATATCAAAACATGGTCCTTTTTACCTTTGTACCAAATCGGCGAAAAATGCGGCTAAAGCCTACAAAATACCGAACAAACGTAAGCCGGTATTGAGAATTTTTGTTAGGATTTTCTGCTCAGTGGATATATCCCATTTTCAATTCGAAACATCCTAGGAGTAGACAGTCGGACATGGTTAAACCGATATAAAATTTTATTCTATTCAAGAATACATATGCTTGAATTTAATATAAATTCCACCTTGTGATGCAGGATATAAAGAATGAAATCATTCGGATTACCAATCTGACAATTTAAAAGTCCTCGAAACACAAAAAAACTCAGATATGAACACATTACATTTCACATTGTCTAAAAATAGTGTGGTTATTCTACAAATATTTGCCGTGTAAATTCATTCAACAACGATACAGCGGAACCGGTACGAATTATTTTTTCTTGGTGTTCTTCTTATTCAGTACTAAATTATTATAGTGAATTATTATAGTGAACCAATTGTGTCATTTAAATTGAAATATGATAATCCTTTTTTCGCTATTCCTCATTAATGGTATACATCTTCTTAATATCTTAGGTTTTGCCACGAATAGTGGAGAATCCGCGGAACAATCCCTAATTCCAACCATTTTATTCATTCACGGTGAATCGTATGAATGGAATTCGGGTAATCCTTACGATGGCTCTGAATTGGCTGCCCATGGCAATGTCATCGTAGTTACAATAAATTTTCGTCTGGGTATTTTTGGTTTCCTGAAAACTGGTGGCAAGGAAAGTGCTCAGGGAAATTTCGGTTTAATGGATTTAGTGGCTGGTCTGCATTGGTTAAAAGAGAACCTCCCAGCTTTTGGAGGTGATCCTCAGGCTATTACATTGTTAGGTCATGGTACGGGAGCGGCGCTGGCAAATATTTTGGCAGTATCACCGGTGTCCAGTGGTAAGTAATGTTGTGAAATCGGGTTTTCCATTTATCGGCAATTGTTGTTGCATTACTTTTCTTTTTAGATCTCATTCAGCATGTTGCCCTGGTTAGCGGTTCAGCGTTATCACCCTGGGCTATACAGAAAAATCCTTTATTTGTTAAACGTCGTGTGGCAGAACAGACCGGATGTCATGGCGATATGCTCTATGATGATTTAGCACCATGTTTGCGTACCAAGTCTGTGGCCGAACTGTTAGCTGTAAAAATTGATCATCCCAGGTAACTGAGGATAACTCTTATGAAATGTAATATAAAATTCATGCAATCTTTTCGTATCTCTAGATTTTTAGTTGGTTTTGCCCCTTTTATTGATGGCACAGTCATATCACCCAATACCGATGGTATTGGCAAACTATCACTGCCTATTGGCTCAGCTATAGTTAGGTAGGTGAACCAAGTATTTTATTTGATCGCTTAAATAATTTTCTATTTTTTTTTTAATTTACAGTACATCAGGAATTGAATATGCAAATTTTCCTAAACGTAATCTCATATTTTGCCTAACCTCAGTAGAGTCACATCTAGATCTAAGCGCTCAAGATTTAGAATTTGGTTTCAATGAAACACGCCGAGATCGCATATTAAGGACCTATGTGCGCAATAATTTCCACTACCACTTGAATGAAATATTTGCAGTACTAAAGGTAAGTATTTTTTGAGCCAATGAGATGAGTTTTTGCAAAAATCTTTTTTTTTATTTTTTTATAATAAACAGAATGAATACACCGACTGGGAGAAGGCAATACGTAGTCCATTAAGTTCACGCGATGCAACATTACAATTTCTCAGTGATGGACACACTGCCTCATCTCTTATAAAATTGGGTTATATGCACAGTCTGAGAGGAGGCAAAGGTTACTTTTTACACTTCAAGCATCGTACAGTCGAAGAAGAATATCCACAGGTAACAAAAAAAAAGACTCACATGCTTATGGTTCGCAAATTGAACGAAAATAAATTTCTTTCAGCGCACTGGTTCTGTACGGGGCGAAGATGTACCCTTTTGGTTAGGCTTACCCATATCACCCCTGTTTCCACATAATTATACAACTCAGGAGAGACAAATAAGTCGTTTAATGCTAAAATATTTGGCAAATTTCGCCAAAACTGGGTAAGCCTGCGCCCATTAAATAACGTTTTCAAACTTAGTAAAGAAAATATTTACATTTTTCATTCTTCTACAGCAATCCAAATCATTCCACGTTTTCTTCACCGCTGGCATCGACTTCGAAGTTAATAAATACACCGCCCACATCTGTGGCCTCAGCTACACTGTCCACTGACATTCACTCAAAACACAAGAGATCATCATCGTCGTCGTCAAGAGCAACATTAAATTCTGTAAATAAAACATCCTCATTATCGTCCACTTCATCGTCCAATTCAAGCTACAGCAATAGAAATGTAACAGCCGATGCTATTGAAGATGTAGCTGCAGCCGCCGCTAGAGAGGCCCTTAACCTGGCCGTGCTCTATAATCAGCGACGAACAAAGCGAACCTATTTCAAACGGCATTCTCGCAGCAATTCCGATGATCAACACAACGGCAATGATTCTGGCAGCAGTGAAATTGCGAACTTTCTCAGTTCAGCTGGTAATTTGGATAGTGAAGAGATGCCATTTTGGGATGCCTACGATGTAGTCAATCAGTTATATATGGAATTGGGTAAGTTATGGCTCAAATAATTCAGCGTTAAATTGGGCAAAGAAACTATAAAAAATTAGTGGGAAAATAATTTTTTTGTTCCCGTAATTCGTATACTCTCCCATCTAACATAAAGGTTCGGTATTTTAATTTTTAATTGCATTTGTCCACAAAAGGGACTTATTCTATGTACAAAATTATGAATATAGGTACATGTTTGAAGTTGCCCCTATATAAAGATTCCGTCCAATTATTATGTATTTTCAAGGTTTCAACCGCGTCTTTCCATTTAAATTTAGACATGCTGCATATTGCTATCCATATTAAAAAGGGCACCAACCTAAAAATGCGGCGCAAGAATTAATATAACTTTTTCAAACACAAGCCAATATCAGCTCTCAAGACATATAATGGTTATGCGGCTTAAGTCTGAAGTTGGTTTCGAAAAACGTAATTAAGTCCTTACTTACTTACTTAACTGGCTTGTTACAGAACGGTTGTTCCATAAGCCGAGCTTAAAAAAGATTTGGAAGACCACGTTCCAAGATGTTGTTTTCTACTTGGTCTTTCCATCTAATACGTAGCCTTCCCCTTCTACGGGAACCACTAGTAGGTTCGCTTTTATATGCCTTTTGACCTGGGACATTCTTATTTATTCGCACAACATGGCCTAGCCACCGTAGTCGCTGCAGCTAAATACGACTGACTATGTCGATGTCCGCGTATAAATTGTAAAGCTCGTGGTTCATTAGACGCCGATATTCACCGTCGACGCAGATCGGCCCGTAGATCTTTTGGAGAATTTTTCTTCCAAACACCCAAAGAGCTGCCTCATCTGCTTGCGCAAGTACCCTTGTTTCTAAACTGCTTACTAGACCATAATATCATCTGTTGGCCATCACAATCCTTCTCCGAATTTCAAAACTGATGTCATTCGTTTTATTTATGGCGGTACCAAGGAATATACAATCTTTGACTACCTCGAAGCTGTAGTTCTGATTATATCGATGTTTGGTGTACAGAGTGCCATTTCTGTTCACTTTTACCTCTCGTATGATCTTTTCCAGCAGGATATTAAAAAGGTCACACGATAAACTGAATCCTCGTTTGGTATTAAAGGGCTCCGAGAGGTCCGACTTTAACTGCTGATCTTGTACCTGTTAAAGTTATCCTGCATAACCGAAATAATTTTGCAGGAATGCCAAACGTAGACATAAGGCTGTCGAATGCGGCTTTATAGTCGACGAATAAGCGGAATGTATCGATGTGTTTTTCGTGGGTTTTTTCCAGGATTTGGAGCAGAGTTAAAATCTGGTCAATGGTGGATTTGCCAGGTCCGAAGCCACATTGGTATGGTCCAATAATGTCATCGACCATTGGCTTCAGTCGTTCACACAGTACGCTGGATAGCTCTTTATATGCGATGGGAAGGAGACTTATTCCTCTATAGTTGACACATATCGTCTTGTCTCCTGTTGAGGTTCCAATCATTGGGCATGAATTCTTCTAGCCAAATTGTACCAATCAGCTAGTGCATGCTCCTTACCAGCATCTGGCCACCAGTCTTGAATAGTTCGGCTGGTAACCCATCGGCTCCTGCTGCTTTATTGTTCTTGAGCCGATTAATTGCTTTTATGACCTCATCTTGGCTAGGTGGTACACACTTTATACCATCATCTCTTATTGGTTCTGGGGTATCTTCTTCATCGCCACTATTTGATACTAGAAGCTTTTCCTTCCAGATCCTCAACACGCTGTATGTATCTGTCACCAGGTTTCCTTCTTTATCTCTACAGGAGGATGTGCCTGCACCAAAGCCTTCGGTTTGGTGTTTTACCCGTTGATAGAATTTTCGGACTTCATTCTGACTCCTGTACATCTCGATTTGCTCACGCTCACGTTTTTCTTGTTCTTTCTTCTTTTTTCTGAAAACACGTTTCTCCTTTTCTCCCGATAATTCTCCATCACGTTACGGGTTGCTACTGTCTGCAGGGTTCCCCTATTCGCTGCGTTTTTCATACCAGTAGCATCACGACACTCCTGATCGTACCACGGATTTCTTGATGGTAGTCTTTGGTACCCAAGTGTTGCTTTTGCTGCAGTTTGTAGAGGGTGGGCAATTCTCTGACATTGTGCTTCTATATTATTATCGAGACAAGGGGTGCTTTCGTCAAGCATTGGAGTAAGTGGAGCAGAGTAGACTTCTGTTATCTGTTGTGTTTGCAGCTTTTCGACGTCAAATTTCCGTGTTACATTAGATCACACTTTTACTGCTACATTAAGACGGATGCGTACCTTGGCTGCCACAAGGTAATGGTCCGAATCGGTATTCGGTCCCCGGATTGATCGGACGTCTAAAACACTGAATGAATGCCTTCCGTCTATCACAACATGGTCGATTTGATTTCTCGTTGTTCGATCGGGAGAAATCCAAGTGGCCTTGTGTATACCGAGATGCTTGAATCTGCTGCTGCTAACTACCATGTTTTTTGCTGTCGCGAAATCAATCAACCTCATGCCGTTGTCTGATGTTTCTTCATGTAGGCTGAATTTTCCGACGGTGGGGCTAAAGATATTTTCCCTATCGATTTTTGCATTAAAATCGTCTAGCAAAATTGTAATGTCATAATGTAAAATATGTCTTTGGTATGTTCATCTTTATCTTCGGTCGGAGCATGGGCGCAAATGAGACTGATGTAGAAGAACTTCGCTTTTATACGTATTTAAAATTCAGTAAATATTTTAAATCGGAAATGCATATAGGACATTAAGGCATTAATATTTTATATTGCTTATCAGGTTATTTTTGCCGGCTTCAAAAAAATTGCCTTTGATTCGGCATTTTTGCCGACACTGTATATAGTGGAACTACAAAAATCTTACAAAATATTAAAAAACCGCAATTAAAATCTCAACTCTTATAATAATATTCATGAAAAATTGAATTTCGTTTTAGGCACCAAAGCTGAAATTCAAAGCCACTATCGCGGTCATAAATTATCGATGTGGTTAAACCTAATACCACAACTTCATCGGCATGCAAATATGAATGATCAATCAATGAGGCATCACCAGTTCCAGGATGATCTGAATAATATGAATCTCTATGAAGGTAAGAAAAGCTATATCGTGTTACTATTCTGATAAATATTCGCCACCTCTCACTTGTTAATTTAGGTATTGTACGGCCACAAATACAAACGAAACCAGCCGATGATGATGAAACGCTGTTGTTACCACGAGGTAGACCAACATCAGCACCACCACCTACATCGACGCTGGAGGCAAATACCACACAAAAACCAAGTGGGGCTACAACAGGTGAATTAAAATTATACACAAACACATATGCATATTTATTTATCTCTGTTATCTTCTTTAGAATGTGGTGTCGACGGAGCTATGTTTGTGGCTGAAATGACCGCAATTCCGCCCACGGACAATCGTTCGTTCGTTGAAAGTCGTGAAAAGGAAATGGCTACAGCCTCAACAGGACTCATAGGTAATCTAGAAGTCTTAAGACGTTTAAGTGGCAAGCAATTTCAAAGTTATACTACTGCTTTGGTAGCAACAGTGGCCGTTGGTTGTTTTCTGCTCATACTCAACGTTCTCATCTTTGCCGGCATTTATCATCAACGCGAGAAGCGGGCACGAGATGCAAAGACAAAGGAAGAACTGCAGGACAATGATAATAGTAAAAATTCCAGTATTTTGAAACTGAATGCATTGGGCAGTGAAACGGGTTCCTTTACTGGCAGCGGGGCTGGCGTTAGTGGAAAAACCACAGCGGTTTTCGGCGAATACAGTTGCTACGATGAAAAATCAGTACAGACGAAAGACGAGAAACTAATCGTCGATTTATCATCCTCTCAAATGATGGACTCTACATGGGCAGCAGCCTGCTCGACCAGTACTTTAGATTTATTGAAAACCAAACATCATCTACCAATAGAATCGAATTATCCAATTTCTTCCAATATTGTACCCATCACCACAGAACAACCCAATGAACATTTAATGGCTGTCAGCGCCATGGAAATGGCCACCTATAATCCACTGCCGCCCATGGTGAGTGGCAGTGCTGGACTAATATTGGATCCATCAATAGCTACCTCAACGGGTTTACAAAGTAAACGCGGTTCCTTTGTTGGATCTTCGGGACAATTAAATCAATATGACTTTGCTTCGGTGCAATCGTCAGATCAAATGTCCTTTAAGGATATCGAGAATGCGGTAAAAGTGTCAATGAGTCGAGGTGATGATATAACACAGGATGATGATATTCCCGAACCACCACCGCCACCAAAATCGTTTCAAAATATGCAACTTCATCATCAGCAGCAGCAACAACAACAGCAACCACAAACAGCCCAGCAACAAACACAAACAACTTCCGTTGGCGGAAGTGGAGTTACGGCGGCAGCAAGTGGTAGTGGTGGTGGGATTTTACGTCAAGCTGGTACCTCATCTGGTACACAGACAGGAGGCGGTAAAAAACGTGTACATATTCAAGAGATTTCTGTCTAGATGTAAGTAAATTATAAGAAGTGATTGTAATTCCAGAATAATATGCAAATTTTTTAATGATTATTTCAAAATATGTACTAAATATTTTATATTGAAATTAATTTTTGACTACTTTCTATTATTCGTAATCACTACATTATTATAGTTTAGCATATTTTTTCCATCGAGTGAATTTTCGATATTTTTTCAATTATGTAAGACGACAACAATATTGGAGATGTATATTATTTTGTATATTTTATTTGTATATATTTAGCTGGCTTGTGACAGAACTTTAGTTCCATAAGCCGAGCTTAGAAAAGATTTCCCGGCACGTCGGTCTTTTGCGCAGTTTTACCAATTTGAAAGACCTTTTTCGGTAATGTTGTCTTCGACTTGATCCTTCCATTGTATTCTGGACCTTCCTCTTCTGCGCGAACCATCAGCTTTTATATACCTTCTGGGCTGGGGCATCTTCATCCATTCTCACAACATGACCTAGCCAACGTCTAACAATGTCGATGACCGAGAATAGCTGGTACAACTCATGGTTCATTCGATGGCGATATTCACCGTCAACACAGATCGGCCCATAGATCTTTCGAAGAATTTTTCTCTCAAACACTCCAAGAGCTGCCTCATCTGCTTGCGTAAGTACCCATGTTTCAGATCCATATAACAGCACGGGTAGTATCAGCGTCTTGTAGAGTGTGAGTTTTATCTGGCGGAAGGTGGCCTTGCTTTTGAGTTAATTGCTCAGACCATAGTAGCTTCTGTTGGCCATCACTATCCTTCTCCGAATTTCAAAACTGATGTCATTCGTTTTGTTTATGGCGGTACCAAGGTATATAAAATCTTCGACTACCTCGAAGCTGTAGTTCTCAAGTTCCACAGTTGGTCTACTGGTCGTCTTGCGCGTTGATACCATCAGCTTGGTCTTCTCGCCGTTTACTGCCAGACCCACTTTGGCAGACTCCTTCTCAATTTGTTCAAGGGTCGATGTCATCGGCGTAGGCGAGTAACATGTGTTGTTTGGTGTACAGAGTGCCATTTCTGTTCTCCTTTGCCTCTCGTGTGACCTTCTCCAGCATGATGAACGGATAGGGCTATCAAATGCGGCTTTATAGTTGACGAATAGTGTTAATATCTGGTCAATGGTGGATTTGCTAGGTCTGAAGCCGCATTGGTATGGTCCAATAATGTCATTCGTTCACATAGTACGCTGGATAGCACTTTATATGCGATGGGAAGGATACTAATTCCTTTATAGTTGGCACATATCGTCTTGTCTCGTTTTTTGTGCACGGGACACAGGGTGCAAAGGTTCCAATCATTGGGCATGCATTCTTCTAACCAAATTGTACTAATCAGCTGGTGCATGCTCCTTACCAGCATCTGACCACCGATCTTGAATAGTTCGGCTTGTAACCCATCGGCTCCTGCTGCTTTATTATTCTTCAGCCGATTGATTGCTATTCTGATTTCATCTTGGCTAGGTGATATACACTCTATACCGTCATCTATTACTGATTCTGGGGTATCCACTTCACTGCTACTATTTGATACCAGAAATTTGGTGTTTTACCGGATGGTGGAATTTTCGGACTTCATTCTGACTTCTGTACATCTCGATTTGCTGAAAATACGTTTCTCCTCTCTCCTTTTCTCCCGATAGTTCCCCATCGCATTACGTGTTGCTATTGTCTGCAGGGTTGCCCTATACGCTGCGTTTTTCATATCAGTAGCATTACGACACTCCTGATCGTACCACGGATTTCTTGACGGTCATCTTTGGTGTTGCTTTTGCTGAAGTTTGAAAGGAGTGGACAATTCTCTGCCATTGTGCTTCTATATTATTATCGGGACAGGGGGGTGCTTTCGTCAAGCAGTTGGGTAAGTTGAGCCTAGTAGGCTTCTGCTATCTGTTGTGTTTGCAGCTTTTCGACGTCAAATTTCCGTGTTGCATTAGATCGCACCTTTGCTGCTATATTACGACGGATGCGTATCTTGGCTGCCACAAGATAATGGTCCGAATAGCCCCCGGATCAATCGGACGTCTAAAACACTGGATGAATGCCTTCCGTCTATCACAACATGACCGATTTCATTTCTCGTTGTTCGATCGGGAGAAATCCAAGTGGCCATGTGAATCTGGTTCTGCTAACTAACATGTTTTTTGCTGCCGCGATGTCAATCAACCTCATGCCGTTGTATGATGTTTCTTCATGGAGGCTGAATTTTCCGACGGTGGAGCCAGATATATTTTCCCTTCCAATTTTTGCATTAAAATCTCCTAGCAGAATTTTAATGTCATGGCCAGGGCAACGATCATATGCTGTTTCTAGGCGCTAGTAAAATATGTCTTTGGTCTGTTCATCTTTATCTTCGGTCGGAGCATGGGCGCAAATGAGACTGATGTAGAAGAACTTCGCTTTTATGCGGATTATAACAATTCGCTCATCTACTGGAGTGAATCTGGAAACGAGGTCTTTTATTCTCCTGTGAACCATAAATCCGCAGCAAAATTCATGTCTCGTTTCACAGCAGCTATAATACAGGGCGTAATCATCTGATTTACTTACGCCAGTCCCTTTCCATCACATTTCCTGTAAGGCAACAATATCGGCTACTGTACAACGTGCGCACATCCTGCAGATTCGCAGATCCTGGTCCTTTATACGTTTGCGGGGGTGGTTTGGTTTTCTTTGCCTCAACCCATTTATAACCCATATTAGCTCACTATTTCATCGGGTGATGAAAATAGCTCCCCAGGTGGCACCGCGGGTGGTCAGTGACCACAATGGAGATGAAAGAGGGACCACGATAAGCCTGGACTTCGCCATGTTAAAGCCAATCAGAGCCGTTGTTTGGTATCTATCATCCCCTACGCCACCGATACAGATATTTTTAACAAAAACATTAAATTGATTTTTGCTTGTCAATGGGACCATATTTCGCGAAAACAATTTCAGATTTGATTTCAACAACATAATTCTCATATCTCTATGGGTATTCTTATCTGACTTCCTTACCTATGATGCAACATTTTTTAATATTCTCTGTTTTTTTTTTTTTTTTTTATTTATTACTACCATTAATATATAGTTAAAGAAGATCAAAGTGAATAAAATCAAAAATAATTATATTTAGCAAATGTAAGATAATAATTGTTTATGTTGATATCAAACATATATTTTCATTATTATTTACTCACAAATATCAAACTAAACGATTTCTTCAAAATATACAAAACTTTAGCTATTATTAATGTTTAAACTAAAAAAAAAAGAAATCCGATTTTCAACAAATTATGTTATGTTACTGAAAATAAGAAAATAAGATACAAATGTTATTTAAACACTTACACACACACTCATCTCTATTAAAATAAATAAATTTATATATTTGACTTTGTATAAGAAATTAAATGAAAATATTATATATATACTGTATGGTTCAATGTTGTACCTTTTGTTAAATGAAATAATTTTAAGTAAACTAACTAACAATAATGAAATCTCTAAGAACGAACAAAAAAATAACGTTATTCATATTTTAGTTTAATTCATAAATACTGATAATAATAATTACTGTATATTTTATGTATGTATGTAACTCTATAACAATTGAAATAAATAATTGAATAAATAATTCATAGATATCATAAATATTTAATACAGATATATATGTATATTTTATTGAAATAATAAACTATTTATTTGTTTTAATAATCTTCTTTTGTACATTTTTATACCCTTCACAATATTATGGTCCGTCCGTCTGTCTGTTGTAATCACTCTAGCGTCTAAACGAATTAAGTTAGATCGCCATAATTTTGCATAGAGTCGTCGTTTTTTTGTCAGCAGGCAGGTCAAATTCGAAGATGAGCTTTATCGGTCCACGTTTAGGGATAACTCCCATATGAGGGTACGCCCCAATTTTCAGTATTTTGGTGTTCTTGAGCCCTTTTAGGGGTTGTCCCCATATAACCCTCTTTTTATATTAAAATAGTTATCTGATCTGTTCCGCGTTTCGGGTTTGGTTCTGAAACTCTGCTGTAAAAATTTCACCCGCGGAGGATATCGAGGTTCGATAGTGAACTATAATGATACCTAACGATTTTCGGTATTTTTAATATTTAGCATAAAGAAATGTATTCTGATGCAAAAATTTTAGTTTCGAAATAGAGCTATATCAGTTTTCAATAAGGCATAGCACCTCATATACTGATAACTACAAATGTTCGGTAATTCCACCCAACCACCAAAATAACTATGTCCTCTGAATTGCAGTATTGTTGGAATTTTTCCCCCTACCATGCATCGCCAATATTGGTCCACTTTTTGGTGTTTTTAGGAAATCAAGTAAAAAAGTGTCAGTCAGCGATGCCGACATATATATATATATAGGTTTGTTTAACTTTGCATAAAAATAAAACACTTTGTTGAATGTCTTTTTGTAACAATAGTTTATTAGATTAAAATATTGAGAGGTAATAAAAATTAAACAAAACTTAAAAAATATTCTTCACAAGTAACTTCAACGTCTATGTTTTAACTTCATTTTTACACTTCAAGTTCCACTCAGCGAATTTGTTTTCAGAAAATAATTGTTTTCAATCGACTGGGGTCGTGATAATCTGTTTACAAATTATAATGGACATACGGACATTCATGACTAGAACGCTTTTGCTAATTGAGAGATGATAAACGATATACAAAAAGGATCTAGAATCAATACATCGTGCAGCTACAAACACTTGAGGCAACACATACTTATAACATAGAGGTGTAGGACATAAATACATTTTCTTCTGATCAAGGTCGTTATATTAAAGTCATCCATAGCAAGGTTTATTCATAAGGTTTCGAATTCGAAGTCTTCATTGACTGTCAAATTTATAGTTTGAGGAATAAATAAACAAAAAATATTTTATTTGAACCAAAATATTCGTGCACATTACTATCATTACGTTTTATTGAAATATATTTTGAGTTTTTATCCTGTTCTGGTTCGTATTT